GCTAACATTTCGGAATTACAACCGAAACAATAAACAAAGTTACGGGCGGGAAGGGGTCACTGCTGGAAAGACCGCGGGCCAGTTTAACCGATTCTGCGAAAAATTATCAACCAATGAGTTTTCGGGCATTGCGCGATATTTCTACTTGCGTCAGTGTCTATGTAGACAACAATTTTATTCGATATTCTCGACTTGTTTTTCTTGACTTGCTCGAAGTAAATGTTACTTGTATAATTAGTATAGTGCAAATAAATTTATTTCTCAATCCAAATATTGAAATTTTTGTACTGTCCATTTTTATCGAATATCTAACGACCATTTCTTCGAGAAATTCATTTCATTTCTCATTGAATTACTAAATAATGACCAGAATCTATTTAATAGAAATTGTCATCACGTTTTATCGCGTATCTAAAATTCAACGAAACAATAAACAAAGTTACGGGCGGGGAGGGGCCACCGTCGGGAAGACCGCGGGCCAGCTTAACCGATTTCGCGAACAATTATCAACCAACGAGTTTTGGGGGGTAATTCGGCAAGGCCGCGAGGGTCGGCGTCAGGTTTACGGGAACGCGGGAGTTCCCGTTTGAGAAATTTACCTCTCGAATGACGCTTTGGGGCACGCGTCGCCGTCGCGTTGGATATTTTAATGGCTTTTGATTTCAAAGACGGGCCACGCGCTGTCTTGGAAATAACTTCGAAATCCAGTTATGAACGCTTTGAGCGCCAGACGAGAAGTCCAGCTTTTTCACGGACGATATCCACGCTTTGAAGTTCCCGCGCGAGGAGGGGGCGGGGGCTAGGGGATATCCTACCATAGCAATTAAAGCGAAACTTTTTATCGTTAGTCGTGCTTCGTTTCTCCGACCGGGCACGGGGTTGACTCCGGGCTCAAACGAGGAACTTCGGCGCCGCAGATTCTCTTTTCTGCCGTTGTGAATAGGACCAAATCCGTTTGTTCGCGTTTCAATTACGCGATAATAGGCGCCTCCTTCACTTTGCGGAACTTGGGAAACAACACTCGCGCAAGCGAAAGATAGTCGCGTCAGATTCGACATGGCGAACTTCCCTCTTAAAATTAACACGGTCTCTGTATACGGGGTGGCTCGCGAATCCCTCTCCACGATACCTGATTCGTAGATGCGATGATAAAAAATAAAATTTATGGACTCTATCTCTGCGTCTATATTTTATTTTTTTTTTAAGTTTGAACTTTGAAATTTCATTAATTCGTATTATTGAATCAGGTCTTTCTGCTGGATTAGCGTACTTATAAATTCTTCATTTATTATACAAAATTTTAATTTTATACAAAGATGAAAATACAGTTGGGATCTAAAGTAATTTTAGAATCATATAATTAAAATGATACATGATATGTAGGCAATACGAACAAAATGTATATGTTTCAAAATGGGAAGTTCTAATTTTTTTTTCATTAAAGCACGATGCTTGTTAAAAATTTTGTTGTACATCAGTAAATTGTTGAATATTTGTTCGAAATATTTTTTTGCGAAACTATCTGTACTGAAAATATCGTGGAACCAATTCACGGCTCACCCTATATACGTGCGCTGTCTTCGTTTTTGCGTACTTTTAATCTGCACGGCCATTCGACGCTTTCCATTCTTCTGCAGCGAACTTCGAATCTTGTAAAGCTTGTCCAATCAAGCGATGGACGGATTCGATAAATAATCGTACTCCAAAACGACGAGAAAGTTTCTACGGTCTTGAATGCTCTCACGGAACGATATCAAATAAGATACTGTGATTTAGTAGGTGTAAAAAGTATTTGGCTCAGATATTTCCTCTTGTCATTAAAAGTAACTTTTATTTTCGAGAGACCAATTTCGACATTTTGGACAATGGGCAACCTATTGAAAATCTAAAAATAAATTTTGAAAGTCAAATAAAAATTAACTATTTTGGTTCAGGCGATAACAGGAAACCTTTGATTTGTTTGATTTGGTCAATATTGAGAATCGCAATCACCTACGCAAGTGTTTAAACACATGTTTACTGCAGGCGTGATAACAACAAAAATCAATAAAAATGATTAAAAAATTTATTTTGTAATCCCAAAGATTAGTTAAGTAAACTACGTAAATGTATGATAGCGTTAGATGTAACATTTACTTTAAAAAAGTTTACATGAGACTGTCCTCTTAAGCTCAGAAAAAATTGGCAAAAGTGTGTAGAAATTCATTTCAGAAAATTTCAACGCCATGCCCCCATATTGTACGAATGTCTTCTATATTTTCCGGGCGCGTTCTCTCGCGTAATAAAAGATATTAACGCGATCGAAAATCACACGCGTTTCAGTCAACTTTTCCCTATTGGACGAAAGCCCCATCGTTCCGTCCCTCCGTCCTTCACCCAGTAAATTCAGATATTGTCAATGCCATAAATCGGTTCGATGTGCTCGACTAAAGATAGACGATACGCATCATTGAGAATAAGTTATTGGTATAGGACGTGTTCGGGACGTAACATCGGAACATGACGTACGGTCTTATATACGCGCGGAGCGTCTGCCGCAGTCCGGTCCTTTCTGCCGCGTGCCTACGTCCCGTCAAAATTTCAATTTCCGTTGAGCATTCTATCGCGATAGCAATGTGTCTCTCTTCGTACGGCCGTTTATCATCCGTACGCGAGGTTCGGATTGCAGCTAGCACGCTGGAATGCCCGGGCTGCGGAACAAATGGATCGCGAAGTGTGTGTTGTCTTTATACCCAGGGAAGATTCAGGGCTACGCGGTCCACTCTACGCTAGGGTGGTCCTTATTTTTCGACATTCGATTACTTTTTGACGCACCCCAGATTGTGACAATTGGAGACAAAAAGTTCTGTGCAAAATTTTCAGCGAGATTAGGCAACAGGTACACGTGCCGCATTTAAATTAGAGTTTTTAAATTTTTATGCATTTGCATTTGTACCATCTTACACCAAAGTTGTCGACTGATATTTTTTAGTGAAATTATAACTCCTTGTGTCTAAAACAACGTGAGTGTGATTTTCATTGTTATATTTAGAATCCTATGCAACGCAGCGTCTGAAGTAGAAAAGTATATATTAGCAATTATTTTTCGACTTTCGATTTTGTTCGGTCTTACCCTCTTAAATGATGACAGAGAGGAAATAACATGTGCAAAATTTTAGAGTGATTGGAAATCGGGAACCTGTTCTGCATTTCAGTTAAAATTTTTAAATTATAGGTAATTTTTCTAATGCGAAATCGTTGTAATTTCAAAACTTCAGTTCTAGTTGTCCAATCACTCTAAAAGTCATAAATGGTTTCTTCATCAAGTGTCACAATCTATGGGGGTGCGTAAAAAAGAAAACTAAAAAAAGAAATTTTAACCCTGTAGCTAAGAACCACCCTACTGTACACCCTTCGAAAATTCAAAATTCGTTTCTTCCGAACTCTCTGTTCTCCCTTCGGGAAATCGACGAGGGATGAGAGGGCACCGACAGATAACGCGACGGGGTCGAATTTAAAAGCACCGGGGCAAAATCGTACGGGATTAAGCTACGGGTTACAAGTTCGGTCCATTGCGAATATTCCGCCCGACTGCGGAAGCGTTTTCATGCCGAAACTTTCCTCCCATTTGGTGGAAAACATTCGAAGATTGCAGTGTTTAGAACTCGAACGGAAAGGAGCCGGGAAAGGGACCATCCGGATACGGGAGGAAGGGTAAAGGACGTTTGGAATCCTTGCATAGCAAATTTACTGCCCGGACTTTCTTACTACGCGAATAAAAAAATATCTGTAGCTACGTTTTTAGCTGGTAATTGCGAACTTTTGACACATCAAAAATTTATTTTGTGTCGAAGAAATAACAGTGACTATGTTTCGCTTTTCTATCTCTCGTGTTATATTGTAATTAAAAATGGTCTGAGTGTTATCGTGTTTTCATTCATGGTACTCTCATAAGAATAAAATTGAAACTATACTCGGCTCAAAGAAGACCCTTCTTTTGCTTGAAAGCAGGAATTACTGCATATCGAAAACGTGTCAGAGGATTTTTTGTATCCGTTTTGTAGCGAGGTCTTCCTCAAGCTATTGCAAACGTAAGAATGTAATCTCGAGCTAAACTGCGAAAAAGTTTGCCTCTCACTTTTATCGAGCCCCGTGCCTCGAAGCTTTACATATTTCATGGGAGATTTTGTTCTTTTTCGCTTAACTAAACACTCGACACGATGCTTCGAGATACGTATGTACTTCAGTGGTGAGTTTAAAGACTATGATCGACGACGATCGATTATTCGTTGAATTTCATGGTTGAAGTTGCCTACGTAGATTTGTGTCAACCTCTTCTATGCGTTTAAAGTATTTCCAATTCTCTTTCGGTAATGTTTATTTGTTCAAACTTGCTCGTCCGTTAAAGAAGATTGCTCGAAACTGTGCTGTTGTTTCTGAGGTGCTATTATAAGTTTCACAACTTACAAAAGGTATTCTTCGAGCGTTCGGTATTGATTTTGTTCTCCTTCAAATGTGTTATTAAGTCCAACAATCTAAAAGATAAGTTCTTTTATTTCCGTGTCCAATCGGGAGACCAAAGTGAGACAGACAGTCTTTCGAAGTTTGAAAATGATCATTCTACAAATTGTAAGCTTCGGCTTCTTACGTTTTGCGAATGAAACATATTTCTATATAAACAAAGATTCCTTCAAATTACTTAAAAGTGAGAAAGATGCCGAACGATACCAAAAGTTACATTACATAGAAATTGCACTTTTACAATTATAATTTTTACTTTTATATTATTCCTCAGTCGATTAATGTCTAATATACCGATTGATTTCGAGACAAAAGGTGTCATTTGAAAGCGGGAATTACGGACAATAGCTTTTAATCTCGCGTTGTAAAGCTACTGTAATCTTCAGTTTGAAATCACAACGTTCGCTATAAACTCTGTCGATGCTGTAATTATCGAGTAATCTCGGACAACGAGTAGCCAGAATCCTCTGGATTAAATTCAAATATAACGTTGTACTCACTTTCTGTGAACGAATACACCGCTTTGAAACCCCGTGAATGACGAGACGACGTGATACCGTGAAATTCCAAGGAAAGTCGTGGCCCGTTGCTCATGATAGGTCGTGGCGGCATTTCACCGCAAAACGAATCAATTTTCTCCTTGTTCCCGTCTATGTGCACATACGCCTCTAACGAGTCCACGTTTTCGCACCTGAAATTACAAGAAACATACGTCTGTCAACGATACACTTGTTGCATTTTGTTAAGCGGCACGCGAAATTACTTCGCTCGACGCTTCGAGTGATTCGATTAGCCCGCTACTGTTTTCATAAACACACGAAAACTATGGTCCAGTGTAATCGGGGGAATGGCCGTTACCGCCGCGTCCAATTAGCGTAATTAGATGAATTATCTATGAACCGAAGCGACGAGACGCGCGCCAGTTTCGCTATTCTGAACAGTTTACAATTTCCTCGAACGAAATGGCACTAATACAAACACCTACAAATTTAATATAAATCAATTATAACAAGTACGCGTTGCATGTTGTATTTTCAAATTACGCGTTCGCGTTAATTTGATACAGTTTGCGATTATGAGGCAACATTAAATTCCTATTGATAATTACTTCTTGCGCAGAACGATTGCACAAACTGGGATGACTCTAATATGCTTGTTTTTTTAAATATTAAAGCAGAAAAATTTGATCCTATATATACTTTTTCTTTAACATTTCAATTCCTTTGTAAAACTATTCAAAAATGTTTTATAAGCTTCGTGATAGATTTTCTGTCTTAAAATGTTAGACACGATCGAAGATCAGTTTGGACAACTCGCACACGTTCAAGTTCCAATTTATTTATTTACAACATGGAGAACTCGAAATTCTAATTAGGATTTGGTGCCTTACTATCGTATCGTAAACTCTCGTCTACAGCGAATTCGAACACATTCTGATCAGTAATGGGTTTTAGGTCTTGCGGGACGGGTTTCCCGAAATTAGGAACTTGTACGAGTATCCCAAATTGCATACTTGCGTTTCCCACGTAATAGTGGTTTACGAAACTAGCGTCGCAGTTCGTACTTAGAATACGGCGAGTTGCTTAAAAATTCGCTCGTGTCCCCTCCCGTGTTCGTTCATAACTATCTTCGAGATCTCAAACAGACCGAAGGACAAACTTTCTTCGACTTTGTTACAACCGCCAGTTAAATCAGAACATGTACGAACTTCGATAGAACCGTTCTGTATCCTACTAGAACGTGACCGGACTTCGTCAGAACATCGTATCGCGAATATTTCCGAAGCGGAACACTTTTGGCACACTCACGATGCAACTTACCAGCTTAATTCGATTGGGCTACAGTATTTTTTTCAAACTGCAACGAGATTGTATTATAACATTTTCATGCATCCTTTAATCTCGATCAAAGTTAACGGCACCGATCTGCGAACGGTTAAAACTCCGCGAGGAAAGCAAACATACGGAGTTTAATTAATAAACTTTGACGTTTTTTTTCTTGTTTTTCTTTTTTTTTTCTACCGGCACAGGATACGGGTTCGAATGTGCCGGGAAACTTTTGATTTTGCAGGTGAAATACACTCTACGTGCTCGCGTCAAAGCAAGCGTAAATCGGCGTAATATTCTGAAATACTTCGCTGGAGTGCGGTATACAAATTACTTTTCGATACGCCAGCGAAACAGGCCAGTGGCGTTGTTTGATCGACCTTATTCATATGCATTCGCGATATCGCGTTTCGTTGTACACTTTCGCGCGTATATTCGCATAAATACGGGATTTGTTGAAAAACGTCGGATAACACTTCAGGGCTGCATTTGCAGGGCGACAACAATGAAACAAGTTTACATCAACGCGAGAAAGATAATGGACGCGATCGTGGATGTCGTACGGATAACATATATTCATCAAGGAAAATTTAGTTTAACATTTTGTGCACGCACAACATGTGTAAATACGACGTACTAGGATTACATTTTATTTTTTGACTTGGACCATTCATATTCATCACATATTTTTTTTGTGACTACATGTTCAATCACATGTATGCTTTAGATTTTAAAGGTAATATTATATTTTTGTTGTATCTGAAATGGGCTTTGTACGCGCGACGAACGCCGTGGGCAACGAAAATGTTTGGATTGTTGGTAAAAGATAGCAAGGAATCGAAACCTTTCTTACAAGTTATCATGTTGCTATTTTAAAAACATATAAACAAATACATACTCGTTCCAAAAAGGAAAATTTAAAATTGAAATTAAATTTATCTTTCATAGGTGGTGTGTTCTGAATATTTTTCATATTTAGTGACCTTATATTCCTATACCCTTTGCTTATTTCGCATTGTCTGGAAATAACTTTTGTTTCTAATTTAAACAAAAGACGTGGAAAGAGAAAAGTGTACCGTAACGTAAAGGGAAACAGCCAAAGTTGGACAAAGTAAAGTTTTTTTTTACTTTTAATAGTCGAGGTCATTTATTAAAAAGTCGCAAAGTAATTCTTATTCTAAAAGCAACAGCAATGTATTTCCTGCGTGGAAGTACCAAAGAAATCCTTTAATATCGAATAATTTAATTTGGCTTTCGAAGTATCGTGCGAAGAAGAACGAAAATAAACGAGATGGTAGTAATTGAAGTAATGACTAATGAAAGAAACAAAATTATGTGTACATCGTTCGCGAAATCACATACACCGAGTGTACTTGCACCATTACATTCACCACGTAGATGATTGAGCAAATTATTCAGAATTCGCCAACATTGAAAAGGATGCGGCTGAAAAAGCAATCCTCTTAATCCGTACTCCACTTATTTTTGTACCAAATTACGGCCCTGGGCTTGGCTGCCGACAGTAAAATACGAATCTGAAAATAGAGAAATTTTCAATTCGGTGATCTACAGTATATAGAGAAGGCAGCCTATTTACGGAGAAAGAATTTATTTACGGTCCGGCCAACTGAATCGGTTGAAAAGTCGTTCCATAACGAAAGACCACGGTCCGAATTTTTAGTCAGTCTTACGAATAATGAAACACGGACTCGCGTATAAACATTTACAGTGTTGCGGAATTTATTTTTGAACCTGTCCGCGCTGTTGATTACAACTGTTTCGAAATATGCAACTTAGACCCGGGGGAAAAATAATTTATCGACAATACGAATCGCTGGATCGATAACATACTCTGGATTTGAATACAGACATGCTCACCGAGGGGTTTATATTAAACGTTACTCCTGTTAAAAATTTATGTTTCTGGGAGAGAGAACAAATTTTGTAACTTGTTTGGATATTCGATTAATTTATTCCATTTGTGAAGAAAATTCTTTTTACGATCAGACATAGTCAACAAATTTCTTGATGATGGTTAGTTTTGGACAAACCTTTTCTGGGGATTTAAATAACAGAACAAACTCCAATGATCAAGATGTATTATGCTTCGAGTGCTCTACAGAGAAGGAATCAAAATCAACAAATCTGACGTAGATCTTAAGATACAGTTCTCTTTTTTGTCTTCGAAGAAAGTTCTTTCGCTATTTAATTATAAATTAAATTTAAATAAATAGGTAAACCTCTGATTCAACATATCGGAAGAAACAATGGTTAATCGAAAGCAGTTTGGAAAAAATGTTGATATGTGTTTGATATTTCTGTGTCATTGCTTTAACAGTGATTGTTATTAAAAATTCTTAAAGCAGAGGTATTTTAATTTCTTTGTAGCTCGTAATCTCTACTTGCGAGCATGGATATAATGTTAAAGTGCCATACTTATAGCATGGCCTCGATATAACACGATACGAAGCACGTCAAAGGAGCTCTGACTCTATTACCTTGCACTACGGATGAAACTGAGACGTATTTTGATACCATCTGTACATTTACGTTTGAAAATGATACTCTTGTATCGACCTATTCTAAGGAATGTTTTCGAACTATTTGAAACTACTATCGAATCGATACTTATCGAATACATAAAGTTTTGGTACGCGTTCAAGCAACGTGAAAGCGCGTCAGAAATAAATGGAGCAATTGTAACGATCGACAATGGTATTATACGTTGCAAACTAGTGTATACTAGTATCTAAAATTATATATTACATAACTGAATGATTATAATGCTATGGGTTTCATAAATTAACAACAATCATGTGTATTGATCAGTTCTCTCGGCTTTATCAAATATCATTGTTCCAATTTCGAAATTCGTTTAGCTTTGATAATTCTATATAATACGTTGATTCGCTCTAAATTAGAATATTCGAGTATAATTTGGCTGCCCCCGCGGAATTAAGCGCATTAACGTAATTGAAAGGGACCAACATAGTTTCCCAGATACTTCTGTTATTTTATACGATGTTTAGTACATGAATTTAATCGTGACTCTGCCATATCAACGCGTCAGACGTCAGAAGACATTTTTCCGATACTATTTCCTTGTATAGAATTATTAATGGCTACATCAACTGCTGTGTAATATCATAATTAATTACTTATTCTCTTCTTCGATCATAAAACTTGAGACCCAAACTCTTTTGTACCGATCCTTTTAGCGGATCATGCAATTAGACCGATAATCTCGCTACTTCTGTCAATTTCTTTCGTAGCTCCGTTAATTCTTTTAAATTATCTGTCCAAAGGGCTATTGATCCCTAACTTGTCCAAACTTATTATAATATTGGATTATCGTGAGATCTCCGACAAACGCAATATACTTCCTTCTAAGCAGTTTATTGCTTTCTAACTACTAACTCATCAATTTATCATCTGACCCGGACCACTGGCATAAAATAAAGTCTCAAGTTATCCGATAGGGATACAACAGATTCTATGAGATTATGACAATTGCAAATTCATATTAAATAATGCAATTGTAAGATCGATCATTGAATCATTTTGTTGTAAGTTAAAACAATTTTGTTGTAAGTGGTTTTTTCCACACGATCGTAAGTAACGAAGACATTCAGGCGGTCCAGTTCACGTGGTTCAGTCTGAATTGTACGGCCATCGACGAGTTCGTTAAAACCGAACGGTCTGGCGCGTAACGAAACAATGATTCAGAATCAGCGAACGTGCTCGCCGTGGAGCCGCACTAAATTTTCGCGTACCAACAGGACCGCCGAACCGACTATAATAAGTACGAATGTTGCGTAAAGCCGGCGCGGACAAAAACGACGATACCAAAGATCTATAACTTCTT